AAAAAAAAAAAAAAAAAAAAATGAATAACACATTATCTGTTATTTGGTCAGTTATAAATTATTTTTGTCTAGAATAAAAAATTACTAAAATCAAAAGAAGAACAGTAAGCATTCAATAGTGTTCTCAAACAATGTCTACTAGTTTTATCAGTTGTTACCTATTATATTCACAGTCTTGCCTCCAAGATTCACCACTGACCTTTCATAGTGGAGTAGGAGCTTGAAGGATATTTGAATCTTGTGCTCATGTTGCAGCTTTGGCAAACCAAAGCCCGGTGCAAGCTAAAGTTTGCATCAAACAGAAATCACTAATCAGCAGAGTGAGATGGCTAGCAGTGTGAGAAGGGAGCAGACACCAAGAGTGAAGCAAAAAATTCTTGAATTGCCCATGAGATCAGTGAAGTAACTGTTCTCAAGAGCTGCCTTGGTTTCTGGCATTTCAGTTTGCAAATCATGTGTTTCTTTACGACAGTTGTCTATTTTCTGCATTAACTTAAATGACATTTCATTCCTTGTAATTAAGAGAATCTAAGTGAAATTCAGAGACATAGCTGTAATTACCTGGTTCTTTCTCATAGACCACATGATCATTAGGTGAATGGATCACGGGGGGGCCTGCATTTTTTGGAGAGCCTGTGGTAGAGGAAATGAAAAAGGGAGATGATGTTAAATCACATAGCCTTATTCAAAAATCTGCTCTTCTCTGAACCTGGTCTAACTTCCTGGCATAGTTTGTCAATTGTTTTAGAGAAGGCCTATAGTCCAATACATACTCAATTACTATATTTCATTCATTTAAAACAAGCAAAGTATGAAATAAAGGAAATACAGATTTGATGTCTGCCCCTAGTTCTCGACATGGGCTCCTAAAACCCTTGTGATTTTCTGTGAGATAGAGGTAACAGGAGCATCTTTCATTTTAATTTTGTTCTTAGTCCCAAATTCCTAATATAAGGGCTTCTAAGACCTTTGGAATCTCTAGAGTAATGTGCGTCTTTTTATATGCTAATGACATGACTGGTGACTAGGGCTCCTATATAGCTTCTGGATGACTGCTAGTAGCCAGAAAGATCATAGATTATTAACTCAATCTCCAGCCTTTACCCATTCCTGGAAGTTTGAGAGTGTGGCTGAAATTTCCAGTCCTTTTACTTAATAATGCCTATGTGATGGAACCTGCATAAAAACCCAAAACAGTGAGGTCTGGAGGGCTTCTGGGCTAGTGAGGACATCCACAAACTGGGAGGGTGCAACCCTGAACTCAGGACCCTTCCAGACCTCACCCTATGTATCGCTTCATCTGGATGTTCATTTGAATCCTTTACAATATCTTTTATAGTAACCCAGTAAGTGTAAGTAAAAGGTTGTCCTGAGTTTTGTGAGCCATTACAGCAAATCACAGAACCTGAGGAGGAAGTGGTGGGAATCCTCAGTGTGTAGCCAACTCAGACAGAATTGTGGGTAACCTGGGAACCCACTGCTTGTGACTGGAATCTAAAGTAGGAGGTGGGGCAGTCTTGTAGGAATGAGTCCTTTACCTGTGGGGTCTGTGCTAACTCCGGATAGCTGGTGTCAAATTGAATTAACATGTAGGACATATAGTTAATGTCCTCAGAAAAGGTGAGAATTACTTGGTGTAGAAAAGTCACACATTTTGAGCATAGAAAAAAATAGCTTTTACTTTACAAAGAAACAAAAATATACTAAATAGCCTCCATGTTTCGGGTCAGATTGCTTAACCAGTGTTGCTTTTCAAAGCTGACGTGAGATAGAGGTCTTATGTTGTATAATAACTGATTGCTTTCATGCCTTAATGAGTTGTTTCTTCTCTCTAGGTTTCTTCACATTACCCAGAGTATCTAGTATGGAACCTGGTTAAGTAAGTATTACACTAATGAGTAAATAGATGGAAAATTCACAATCATGATGTTAAGGCTGGCACATTACTCTACTTGATGACTAGTTATCAGTTGAATATTCATTTATGAGATTGCTGCCCTTTATAATATTTAATACTCCAAAACTTAAAATAACATATTGAATAGAGTTGTTAGTGTTATCTTCCAAAGTATGGGCTCCAAAGATTTAATAACCAAGTTCTAATGCTGATTTGGCCATATACTAACCATATAAATATACAAAAGCAAAGTTACTTGTTTTTTCCTAATTTTTGAAAAGCTAAGTTTTTGTAACTCTAAAATGTGGATAATTAAAACTCACATCACAGTTTCATTATGAGAAATAAACTAAGTAATATTTATTAATGAAATGCTACCGGTATATAATAAATACTCAATACTTCACAGCTTTGAAACAACAAATTGCATTGCTTGAAAGTTGAGAAAGAAACTCCCAATGCTCAGATGCGTGTCAATTTTTATATCTGTTAATCAGAGTGACCATGTATGCTTATTCCCAACTTCCCCAAAATGCGTACATTTAAGTACATATATTAGAAGCAACCGCCAGGGTGAATAAAAGGTTATATTATTCATTTGACTTTTAGAATTTAGTCTGTTTTCTTCTTATGAATTAATCACCAGCTAAGCATTATTTAGAAAGTAAGCAGAAAAAGAAGAGAAGTGATTACAACATTGTTTGAATACTCTGTGAACTATATTAAAGCCTTTTTGTAGGTAACTTACACTAAATCTGAAGTCAGACCATTAGAAAAAGCCCTGAACATAGACATGGGATTTAGAATTACTTTTTCAAGTTACTCACTGAGTGTCTCTACACAGGTTACTTCCTGTCAGTCATCCTAATGTTTTTATCTATTAAAAGACAGGGTATGACAAAATATTACCCATATATGCTATCTTTTTTAATACAGTGGACACAGTGGTATCTAGGGCTCATCCCCAAAAGCCACATATCCAGACATGATTTTTCTTTATTTCTGGGTTTGCTAGGAGTTTGTCAACTCTGTCTAAGAATCACCATTTCTCACCCCCATTCTCTTATTGCAAAATAATGGTTGAACATTATTGCCAGCAAATACCTTCAGCAATAGCCACGGCAGTTTCAGTATATAGAAACACAGAGTTTATTTAATCCACGTAAAACACTCTTTTGACAAAAACATTACCTACCATTCACCAATTCTTTATTGCTTGCCTAAAACTGCATTAACACAATATGAATATTATTTCTAATATTCTCAATCAATTTTAGCTGTAAAGTACATATAAAGACACAGACCTTGTTCAAAGTCATGTTTCTAATAAGTGGCAGTGATAAAATTTGAACACAGATCTGTCTGGTACTTCCTTCCCTCCCCAAACTACCTTTACTTCATTCATTCATTCATTCACATATTCATTCAGTTGACCCAGAGTAACTGAATGCTTACTATGTGCATGGAATGGCTCAAGGCTCTAGAGACAGTGCTGTAAACAAAAAACATGAATCTCTTTTCTTATAATATTTACATACTAGTATGTGAAAAAGTATTAAAAACCATAATAAGATGAGCACATATTTGTTATGTGTTCTGAATACTGATCATGCTTACCTACTATCTTTACAGTCAGAGTCCTGGTGAGATGAAATGTACGTCCATTTTCTGGATATGTGACAACACATGTGTAATTTCCATTATTTGAAATTAGGGCAATAAGAAAACTCAAGTTCATATCTTCAGGTACTACATTATGAAAATTCTGTATTTTATTACAGCCCTAGAAAAAGTAAAAAAATCAAATTTTACTTTTCAGACACATACATAGAAAATATACAAATAACACATGCTCAGTCACATCTAATTTTGCACAGAACACCTAAATATTCATGCTGCAGTTTTAATAAAACAGTTTTGGTCAAGTATTTGATAAGATTCCTGCAAAGAATAAATGAAATACATGGCATTATCTTCTCTGATCATGAGAAATTAAAATTCTAAACTAAAATGTGACTTTAAAAACACAGGCTTCCTGTCTCAGGATCAAATTCTGGGCATCCTATGTTGACAGTAAAGCAAAGTCACAGTTTTGAAATAATGACTAAGGATTTAGTAAGCAATTCATTTTCTTTTTGTAATATTTTTTCACTGATTATATTAATTTGGGAATCCAGTCATTCTGTCTGATAATCCAGGCCTCAATTTAGATGTTTGAGTTTGGCATTCTTAATCGCCCTGTTGTTTCTCTGATCAGATATTTCCAAACTATTTGTTTTGTGTTTTTCTTTTACTTTATACCATTTTCTT